TATATACGTGAAGAGTATACACAGGAAATATTCAAATTGCAAAACAATATTCCACTTAAAGAAAAAAACAGCTGTACATTAACGTAGGTACTAGAATCGTCTAATGTTAGAATCAACAGAAAGGTCATTGTGCATAAATTAAAACATCGATTTGGAACTGGCCGAATTCGCGTGTTACTCGCCAACGATTAGTCCAACCACATTTAATTATACCCGCTCCGTTCCATTTTCGCGTCGAGGCGCAAAAACGTTGCTTCCGTGAACTGACGTTGGACGCCATGTCGAACGTGATGGACGAATATCGATATTATGCACGGTAATTTGCACTGCAAATTGCATTAAGACCTCCTCCACGACTAGCATGATGTTATTATTAAGAAACACTTCACTTGTGCCTATAATTTATCTGTTTAAATTATAAACGTATGACAATCGCTACCTTGTCACCTAAACGATATGCCAGTCTTATTAAGATAAGGATTTACATTTTACCTTACATTTGCTTTAATTACTGTAGTACTATTTTCTGTGATTTCGATAGTCCATACTAGAAAATATATTATGCGCCCTTGCTATATATATATATCCCTTATTCCCTTTGAGGATAAAAAACAGGTGTGTAAATCCGATTTGTATAAGCTTATTATGAAAGAGAAGTTTCTGTAAATTTGGAACAAATTGTTATATAAAATAATAATCATATTGTAACAAACATTGTACCGTCTGTTGGTTCCAGAAGTGTTTTATTCGAGCATCGATCTTGAGTGATCAAACGGGCTGCTGGTCGTCAATTAGGTAAAATCGCACATTTGGCAACCTTCCCGAACAGTTGTGCAGATCTGCGTTTCATTTGAACAAAACGTCGTATCAGAAGCCTTATATGGTCTTAATGCTGTCTCTAAATAGTTGTTTGTGTAACAAATCATAATAAACAAAAATTTGTGGATCTAAAACTGTATTAGTTATATAGGAAAATACATACATATGCTAGTTAAAAGAAGGTCGGTTCGAATGGAAAGTTTGTACTAATATACTTGTACCTCCATTGTTCTTTTTCTTTTAATCTATTTTTGTTTTTTTTTTAGCACTGTAAATTATTAAAACGTTTATTTCCCAAGATTTTATCTATATTGTCATGTGTTTACTGCAATGTTTCAATTTGTATTATTATATATAAAATTTACAATATGATTATTGAATACGAGCACGGGAGCTTCGCCAATTTCACAAAATGAATGGTTATTTGTAACTTAGACGTAAAACAAAATACCAATTGAACTGTTTCGCGTCGACTGAATTCTGAGCCCTTAGATTATTATTCATAACGCTACATTGTAGTAGTATTCAAGTATGAAATATTTAAAACACTTTAGTATAAAATTATAAATTAGTTAGATACCGATATATCTTAACGAAACGTTCAATAATCCATAGTTGACCATTTTTATTAAACTGTCTCCGTAGTTTAAGATATATGTTCTTGAATTATTTATCATATTAAAGTTTCTTTTAAAGGTACAACAAACAATCTTTTTTTTCTTTCTTCCCTTTTTAACATATTCAAATAAATTAGCTCAAAAAGAGCTATTTTATAATCTTTCAGTCGCTGGAAATATTTCTTTTAAGAGAATTTTATCTCTAAGTCTATTTAAATAATTTAACTTCTCTTAACAATACAATACTTTTGTTTTTGAATTTAACCTGAAGTATATATTACAGGTTGCTTATAATGGATGAAATGTTCTCAGTATCAGTTATTATTTATGAATTTCAGCTTAATTGACCTGTGACTATATTTATAAATGTAGATATAAAGATTTGATATTTTTTTTATAATAAGAATGTTTGAGATGAGTCTGAAATCTTTTATTATGAACTAGCTATCGATAATGTAAATGATGAATTGATTATTTTAGAAGGTACATTCATTGATGATACAGTTATTGAATTCGTAATGACTGTTCGTCTAGTAAAAGAACATGCTGCTGCGGATGTTACGGCCTTGGTTTTAGTTAATATTCGTGTCAAATATATAACCACACATAAACTGTTTGTTTTATAGTCGTACCGAAGAGATTTGTAACTTACATTTACAAGATAATAAATATGTTTTGTTGCTTATTTTTAAGAAAGTATGTACCTATTGTTAGACCTGAAATAAGACGTAACCTAAATTAAAACAAACAAAAATCGTCTTCGCTAATTTTAATATATAAATTAAACCGTAACTAGCTGCAGACAGAAAAAATTGTTTTCTACACAAATGTGACAAATATATGAATCTTTAATTTAGACAAAAGGTCAAAAACAAAGATTTTATCTAAAAGTTGTATCCTAAATAAAATATTTAGAGGCTAATGATGTCTCCATATAAAATTATTATATATGTATGTATATCTTTACTTCCTATAGTTCTTTTTTAAAAACATTAATAAAGTATGCATAAATAGTATACTATTTTATTGCTTTAAAAAATAAAAAAATCCTTTATAAACCTCACATTTTGTTATTATCTGGTGAAGTGGAAACTATATTTAAAACTCCCTAATGGGAAGCTGAATTTGAATTATGACCAATTACTCCAGGTGAAGAAAAAAATATTTACCTACTGTTTAAACACTACTGGTTGAAGAGAGATGGGGAGATTATAAATGTAAACATCGGATTTGGAAGACTGAATGGTGAAATAGAAGTACACATATAACCCATGTATTGGGTACTTATAGATCGGAGCAAATAAAACCCCTTCCGATGTTAGAAAATAGATTGCGAAGTCAGTATTGACGTAAATACATACAAGCAAATATACTTAGAGATACATGAATAGTGAATGAATGAAAACAACTTTATTAGATATAGTATCGTTATAAAAGAGTCAAAGTAAAACTTAAGGTAAGGTGTGTATTTAGTTTTTAGTATTTGTCTATAATACTCTAAGAAATAATATATTTTAATTCTTTAAAAGCAGTAGAAACCTAGTTTTTTTTTATGTTTATACTGACATTTTGTTAAACTCTTAAAGAATTATATTTTTTTGAGCTTTACATTCATATAAAATATCTTTATTTGTAACGAAATTTTTTGGCTTTCAATAAAGAATGAAATCGAATAGATTATATATGACCTAAGATGTTTAAACATCATTCAGATTAATTATTAATGTCTCGGTTATTCGTGATAAATTTGATTTGTAGACGATTTCAAAGTTCATATTTAATTATTAATTTTTGAAAATTTATCAGGAGGTTTAAAAATTAATGATAAGGTTAACTTTTTATATATTACATATTAGGATTGTATATAATTGTAAGAGAAACATTTTAAGGGAACAGTTAAATTATCCTTTACAATAATAATTGTAAGAGAGCTAATACATAGATTTAGCATTAATTTAAAGGATATAGGAATTTTTCAAAGTGTGTTATCCATACCAAAGTCAGTGATAGCCAAAACTATTTATCAGTTTAAGTTAAAATAAGATATGTCATAGTTTATTAGTTTTAGAATTATTTTAGATACTTTAAGGCCTATATTTATTGTTGGTGGTGGGACTTTTATTAAGGGAACGATGTTACTGACATTTAGCTTTGCTGCTAAAAAGTCCCAAAATAAAATCAGAAAAAAAAAATAATTGTCCCTTCTATGACTTTTGTTATATTAAAATCAACCTTCTCTTTTATTTACAAGGGACTTTGTACTAACGACATGTTATATATATATTATTTAATTTTGCAATTTCAATAGATTTCGTGAGAAAACCGTTTAAAATATTAAATTTAAAATTTATATTTTAAGTTAAGAATTAAAAATTAAATTGAAAGCAATGTCTGGTTATCAAGGATTTTTTTATTTATATTGTAGTATAACACTGATTACTTTTTTTAAAGATAATTATAATTTTTTTTATTTAGTATAAATTAAGATCAGTATAAATTATTGACAGTATAAATTAAGATCAGTCATTAATCCCTTATATATAATTATGATTGATATTTGAACAATTTAAAAATAAACTAAAGAAATAATAAATCAGTATCAACGGTCGTTGCCCAATGATATATAAAAATAAAAATCTTATTCGTTTGTTAAAAATAGACGTATAAAGGAAATTTGACTTATTGGAGTCACTTAAGCTTATGTTAGTACTACCTTTTTTTAACTTGATATAAATGTTAAACCTCATTGGAATCAGAATTATGATACTCCTACGTAATATTCTAAAACTATTAGTGTTATACATTTTTGATGCATCAAATAATTTCATATCATTGATAGTTAAAGTTAAATAAAATTCAAATCAATAACGTTTTACGACAGTACTACCAAAATACTCTTGGTGAGAGATTTCATCCGGAGCAGGCTGTGGATGCCAAGTAAACAAACCCGTGGATTCGTGCCACCCTAAGCTTTTTCAACGTCATCATGATATGCAGATATATGAAAATTTTGTCTTGTATTACAATTTGTTTTATAGAATCATATAGTTAGGACATTCATTAAGGCACAATTCTAGGGAGACTTAAAGGAGGATAATCAATGGAACGTTTGCCTTGAAGACTACAATTCCCATCAATAAATTTGCTTGTTACTTTGATTCACAGACCTAAATACAAGTGCCTCGGACGCACACATTAATGTTCACATTCGTATTGTGAATAAACATCGTAATGTAGCAGATAAACTAGGATGGGAGCCAAGACGAAAATATGCCACGGCGCGTTTTTCCATTGGATTTTGCGCTTTAGAAACGGGCAGTAGTCCCCAATGAAAGCCATTGTTAATTGCTGATGGAATCTGATAACGCAACACCAAAGCTTCTGTCACTACACTTACGTACACATGTTTCTGAGACACTGTAATAGCCTATTGTCATCTTCCAGAAATATCTGCAGTTTTTATGACGAAGATGTTTGCTCGTTCAAAAGAAACTATTGCATAACTAAAACCGGAGATGCTTTGTTTATTTCGTATAGATTTTGTGTTGGGTTAGTTTGTTCCTTTCAAAAGGAGTGATATGTACCTAAGTTTGTGTTGGTATTCATTCTGAATCCGTATGTTTTTGTTTGTCTTGCAAGGTCGCACGTGGTCATTGTCCATATCACGGGACAGGTCGATGCACACGCGTCAAGGTGGATACGGAAATTTTCATTCAACCGCCAGTTCTATTTGCATCGTCACAAATTATTAGAGGAGCATTGCGCACACTTCCTCCATTGACGTATGATGCACAAACCTTCGCGGGTCGTGATGTGTAATCGATGTTAACGGCTGGTTTCCAACACGAACTAGCCGGATAGATATATTGGGCACAAAACCGACTCATCCGTCAGCAACAAACGAGCAGGACGATTACGAATGATTAATGCATTTATGTTTTTTTGTTTAACGTTTATATTCCGCAAGCGTTCAATGTTTGTTTCAGGATAACGCTAGTGTTTACGTCCGTGTTCACTGTCAAATGTTATCGGTTATGTGAGCAGATGCGTACATGTGTGTGGGCCGTGGCGTACTTGAGCTATTTGTGTTGCGTCGGTTACATAAAACAGTGATGTCCTCACCTCCTCTATCCTGAGGCTTTTGCGGACCACCTTGCGGGTGACCGCAGTCTCATAAGTTTCCTCGATTGTCTCCGCCATGGTTGCGTTACGCGTTATGCGCGGGCGTCGCGCGCGATTGTTACGGCGGTACTGAGCGACGGACGGTTATTTTTAGTTTTCAGTCGCCGGTTGGCGTGGTGTATCCGAGTCGCCCGAACACTGTTCTTGGGATTGAGGGGTTGAGGGAAGTCGAGACACTGAAAAGTTTGCTCTCACTAAAGATGCGACGGAGCGTATAATGAGGTCCGAGTTGACATGTAATCTAAATCTTTATGCGTTCAGGTCGCTATTTCCATACTTTTAGGGATAGTTACTTTGAAAAGTAGAACATACATGTTATCAAAATTAATACGACCATACATTGAATACGACCATACGAAAATCAAAAGTAGTCGTAATTTACATTATATTGACCTAATAATACTAGTCCTTAACTTTAGTATGTCAAATGTATCGACATGTACTCTTTTGTTATTATTCCACTTATTTAGTGTACAGAATTTTATAAAACTTTATTGTATATAATTTATCTTGCTTCTATAGTGAGTCATATATTTGTTCCCTTTTAATATGTATAAGTGAATATGTACAAACATTTCATATGCAAAAGAATTTCCCCCTTTCTAAATATTAGAACTGTTGAATTTAGTAAAAAGTGCAAGCATCGTGTAATCGTATTGGGTAACTGAAATTATTTCAAAAGGTCGGTAAATTTAAATATTCTCACACTATTTACTTTCAAAAGATAAAGAATACTTTTGGGATATTTTTATAACTAAAAGGAAGTTGGCTTAAAAAAATCTGTTCGAGCTATTTTCATCTTAGGTGATGTACCAGATGTTTAGATTTGATAACATACCATTTATTTTGCCGACAATTTGACATGAATATTTTAAAATGATCAGCTCACACAGTAAGATCGTTTTTACTAATAGTGTAAATAATTGGCATGGAATTAAATTAATGTGTGATATAATTAGAATTATTGGAGTAGTAATGGCTCGATGTGACATTAAGCGCCATTTTCCTTGGAAACTTATAATACTGCGAACTGTTATTAATTTTCAATCCGTATTTATAGACCTCACAAACGTACTTGTTACAATATTGCGATGTTAATGTAACCAAAGTGAGAAGTTTTTTTGTGTTAGGGTTTGCAAAGATGCCTAGTAGTTACAGGGGGAAAAGTATATAATTTAATCACTTCAAGGTGCTTGCAATTGGTTAACTTGTCTCTGTTGTTTTTAAAAATTCATGCTGCAGCATCGTAGAAAAATATTTGGGAATTCATTCAGTTAAAAAGACGGAGAAACAAAATACGTACCATAATCTTAAGGACGTTCAGTATAAAGTTAAGGTGGATGAAGATTAAAAAAATAATAAAAATCCGTAATTGACCTGAAAACGTACTAGTGAGAAGATCGATAGTTCCTCTTTTCTAAGATATACGTAAATATAGATCTATAATAGAAGAATTAAGCGTCTTAATATCAATTACTAACTGTTTTTCAATATTAGGGGAGGGATTTATTACTTTTCTGCAACACAAAAGGAGAATCGAATCGAATCGAGGTATTTGAGTTTTCCTTCGGAGGAATTTTTCAACCCTAGAATAAGTAACAGAAACACCTTAACGGTATAGACCAATGTGTAGTGAAAGTTTAGGCCCAAATATCTTCTCTTAGAAAAAGGTTATGTGGCAGCCAAATATTCTCTTTATCAAATATTTTTGCTATAAAACTCAGTAATGAAATTCTACTTTCTACCACGCTCTAGCTCACCAGCTCACCACCTGGACGACCCCATGCCCCACACTCCTCCAGGTTGAGATAAGCTGAATACTCCATACCGACACGGTGATGTTAGTATAGGGTTGGCTTTATTCTCGCTATCTTGATATGCAGGTAGTGCCTGTTTCAAGAGTATCTGCATAAGTCCAAGACCCGTAGAGGGCCTTGCTTAACATTATGTTCTCCTATAAGTCAGTACACATCACACGTCCCTTCGCCGTTGAGCAGAAGTCTTCTCAGGGCCAGGCCTACGGGACGCAACGCCGGGACCAGCATATTTATTTATAGCCATAGACATGTGAATGTTGTTACCCAATTATGGTTTACATGCTGGATGAATAATGATGTTATTTGCTTGAGACTTGTGAAACTTGCAATATAAAAAATATTAATGAGATTTTAGAACAGTAGGCATTGTGTTTTGTGGTATAGTAGCAAAAAGTATACTGGTGGAATCATCATAAAAAGAATGGAAAAAGTACTGACAATTGATGATATAAGTACATGAAACTGGCAAAGCTATTTGTTTTGCCATATTAACAAATAAAAAAGAGATGATGATACAAGAGAGGTAAATGAGTTTTTTATGTGAAAGGTGCAAATGAACAGACGGCCTACCTGATGGGAAGTAGTTATAGAAATCTGTGGCTTAAAGGTTGTTGCGGACTTGTAGCTGGCCTTTAATGTAGAGCAGATTCCTGAACAAATGCTGTCTGAAAGACCCCTTTTGAAACTCTCTGGAAAAACCTCGGATGGAAGGTCAACATCCTGCACGTGAGTGGAAAAAATGACAGAGCTGTACGTACAGTTTTACAACTGAATGCATTTAGGTGATGTAGATAAAATCTCCCCCTTCTGCCAGTAGTCCGATAATTATTAATGCGAGAATTAATGGCACTGTAATTTTTTTGTTGTTATTCTGTTAAATTACTTTTATACATTTTCATCTTAGTAAAATTATTAGTGTATTGTTTTATTAAGTTATTTGTATGTTAAGTCCAGAACTGAAATATTTTTTTCATTTATATATTTCTTTCATTTACTACCTAATACCTATCCAACTTTTTAATCCACTCTCGGTCATATTAATTTCCTAACATATATTAAATTTATTTAATGTTTGAGGATTGAAATAAAATATTTTCCGTATTTTCCATTCATAATATTAAACTGTGACATTTACTTAAAACTGTATGATATGAAATAAATATAAAGTTTTAAACTTTATGACAATCAGATTGATGATTATGACAATAAAAAAGAAATCTTCAAGTCCAGTTAAAGTAATTACAAAAAAAAAAAACAAAAATTTAAATCAAAATTTGTATTTTATTTCATACTTAATATCTATAACAATATTAAATAAGCCTATGTATACAATATTCCTTAGGCGTGGCACTTAACTATCATAAAAATTACATACCTTACACAATAACTCGGCCAATAAATGCCTCAATCACAAAATGAAATTTTTTATATATCTATCCTATTTCATATCTAAATATATATCCAGAACCTAAAATGTCTAAAATCAAATTGTCTTTTGTGAGCACATTATTGAATAGAAGATGGACGCGATAGATACATAGTGAAATTTGGCAACATTTTTGGCTCCTCCCTCCAAACAAATATATAAATTATTCACATAAATAATAAAACAAATATCACAATATGGATTTATATCTAAAATAACTGCTGTAATTACTATTATTTTAAGACAATGAAATAGGTTAAGAAAGAATATAATATTATAATTAATTTAACATTGAGTGTTGCCAGATAATCAAATGTTATAATTCAAAAGTTACGTCGCCTTAAAATACATCTCATGGCTTACGTTCTACATTGAGTATATTTATCTATATAACTATGTTTATCTAGCCACTCTATATACGAAATAAAATGTGAATATATTAGATATTAAAGACTACAAAATTAGGAACACCAATCTACTGAGCCAAAAATCGTACGACATACATGAAAAACCAAGGGCACGTGAACTTAGCGCTTAGTAAGATTTTTAATCATAAACTCAAACAATTAAATATTTAAGTTTTTCGATGATGCAACACATACAAAATCACAAGAACACATACGCTTTTATTCTCAAACAAAGTGCGAAAATAAGATTATCTTAAATAATTATAAATATTAGTGAGCAGTGTTTCATTACAAAATACAAATGCTTTACTATTCTTTGATATTTGATAATAGAACATACAACAAACATTTATTTAATACACTTTATAAGCATGAAAACATTCAGTGACAGAAAACTGTTTAATATTTTAAGTGTTCCAGATTCAAAACTGTAAATATTCTAATCATTAAAATAGGTGCAGGAAAAAAAACAAGTACAAAGTTATCTGGTGCACAATTTGTTTGGTATTTTACAAGCGATAGAGGAAGACCGACGTGATTGAGCAAAAAACTTGTTAGTTCCACGTTAAGTTGATAAAAAAAACGATATCCACACGTGTTTTGCCGTTGGAATGGTCACTGGACACTCAGTCATTTGCACACATTACAAGTTAACACTCTTAACATATAAAAACTAGCAACATTAACCACAAACGGTTATCAAATTGAACAGCCATTCCGAATTTGAACACTGTCTATATTTTTTATCTACACTTAATATCTATTAGCCCTTGCCTTCGTCTGGTATGACAATGCACACTGTGGCCGGTCTTTGTTTTTGGTCTGTCTGTGTGGTACGTGGGTTTTGAGCACTACGGCACAGTTCGTTCGTAGTTGTTAGCTTGCATTCAACAACGCGGTAGTTGCAAGTCGTTGACCCGCAATCGAAGTCCGTGTGGGACACAGCATTTGGGATGCTCTCGATTGTTTTAGACTCATCCTTGAACGGTGGATAGCTGGAAAGTGCAAATAAATTTAATAAAATATGGAAATAGAAGTTTTATTTCTAACAAACTTCTTCCCGTTTCCTCTCACTATTCGCCACAAGTCAAAATATTATGTCTATTAAAATATATTACAATCGTCTTGAAACGTTTAAAGTTGGCGTAAATGTGGGTTTAATGAATACTCATATTTGTTATGGTCTGGTCAACAAACTAACTATGGTGAAGAAAACTGCGTGAAGAAACTATGGTAAATCAACAAAGCGCAACGGAGCAGCTTACAGAAAATTGCTTCTAGATAACTTCCACTTACGGACTAAGATTTCCAGGAAGAAATTTCTAAATAAATCTGTTAGTATATAATATATAAGTGTTTGCAATTTTCTAATTTGTTTGCGTGTAAAAATTAATTTGTAAGAAAATAACATAACTGTACTTTAACCATAAAAAAGGTCTGTCAATCTCAGCTTATGTTCCTTAAGATAAAAAAAAATGTAAGTATAGGTATATATATATTTGTAATAAATTTCTTTGAGATGCATGTAGGGCATGATTAAACGAGCCGAAACTAATTATAAGAATTCCATTAATATTATAAATGAGAATATTTTAATTTATTGGTGCAAGCAAGGCGATGAAAACATTTTAGTCCTGTAGCTTACACGTCAGCATGTAGACTAAAATTTGTGTCTTTCTGCTATGTGGTTCCCGTGGGAAAACGACAACCATTCTATTTTGTATCAAATCACACATAATAGATGTCGCTGCGGTTTGTTTAACATAATCATATTTGAAAGCATATTTTACTGACTTCTCTAAATGCAATTACCAAGATCAAACGGACGAAGTCGTGGCTAAGAACTAGTGTATTGATAAAAAGACAATTTTCTAGCGGGTATATAATAATAGATAATTATATTGATTATATTTCATTTTTTACTATCTACATTTAACACGTCACACAAAAGGAACTGTTTTTGATATTTATAGGATATAATACAAGATGTTTTTTAATTACCTAAGAGGCGGTGGAGTCGGCGATCGTGACAATGGGAAGCTGGCCACCTCCCGCGAGATAGCCAGTGATTTAATAGAGCCGAAAGTTTGTTCTGGACTTAATGGCACACCCAGCACTGACGCCATCCCTCTGAAAAAAATATAGTCGTTTAAAAATAACATTTAAAATGCGGAAGATAGAGTTAAAAATATGACAATAGATAAGATAGATAATGAATTTGAGTATAGTGATCAATCGCATGCTTTCGAAAGGAATTGGTTGGTTTAATTCGTGTATTACTTACACTACAGAATCGCTAGGGACGAGAAAAGGTAATGGGGGCGGGCAGGGGGCATCTGCTCTTGCTGGCGAGGCGGGCTCCACTGAGCGGGGACAGCGAGGAGTCTCGCCTTCCTCTACCATGCCCAACCAACCACGCAACCATCTCCAGAGGCCGCGTGGACTACCTGTAATATGTAGAAAGTCATATAGAAGTGGTATTGATACAGCTTTATACAGAAAGTAGTATTTTTTTTATAATTATTTGAATGACTTCATTGAATGCTATGAGAGTTGATATATAAAAAAAATCTCTATCCTACAAATAGTGATCAATAGTGGATTGATTGGGATGAAATTAAGATAGTATTTATTAATATTATTTCGTTGATACAATTTTAAATTATCTGTAAAATATTGAAATATATTTCTTTACTTTGTTGTAAATCCAAAAGTGGTATCCACATTACTTTATTTTTCATGTATATAAAGCAACTTTATGTTTCAAACACAGTTGTAACCGTATTTTATGAATACTTATAAAGACCATCTAAAGTGTTCCAAGAGGTAACAAGACTTTCAACATTTTTCATTTATTCGTAATACTTATAAAATATTTCTTTAAATACGTCACAGAAAATCTTGATTATTATTTTTTTAATTATATAACAGATAAAAAATATGTGATGTTTTTAGCAATATATAAATACGGTTTCAATTGTAAATGTCATAGAATTTCAATATAACAATGCTCATTGTTTGTATTGTTGAGCTTTACGTAATGGTAATGATATCTTACGTGTATATTTCCTGCTATTTTGTGGGCTGAGTGGATAGAAGTCACCGTGTATAGGACAGTGGAAGGCGAGTCTTCGTTGTCGTTTTTGTGCCGCTCTCATCAGCATACATAGCACGATACCTGGAAAATATATATAACATAACATTTATTTTATTATTATTAAATAAAAATTAAAGAAAAATATAGTTGCTGTTTCATGTAAATAATTTGAAACATTTTTTTCCTTACAAAAGGGCAAGGCCGTAAATCTGTCTATGGGCGAATTAATTTAATTTCTACTTAGCACGAAATTTTCATTCGACTCATTCGTTTCGTGACCTAGTTTACGTCAGCGTGATTGTATCGGGTGATAAATAATTCTTAGAGAATGATTACTAAGAGATCTATAAAAACTGTGACTTCCTGATGTATCCACAATGTTATTTTATTTTAAGTGCTTTTTTTGTTTTATAGAGACATTGAATAACGGAAGCCTTTTATATCAGCCTTCATCACCACTGAAGTTACTCATGTGCATCGAGATTTAAAAGTTAGTGATTGTTTAATTTGATTACCATAATGTTTTTAATAAAAAGAAATATTCCCGATGTAAAGTGTTGACGCCAACTGTAACCTTAGCTATTAATATCTTAACAGTATTACATTGACGTGTTTAATTATCAGTAATATGTAATAACTTTATCGATTTATTTTTATAGTAATATAAGTTACGGACGTTAAATTTTTTTTTTTTGTCGCAAATTTTATACCAATAAAATAATTTTACTTTAAATTACTCATGTGTATTTTTAGACACTACATATCAACCATTAAAATCACAAAAGCGTAAATCTTACCTCTAGTTGTTGGGGTCATCAAAGGGCAACGGTCAAGTTTATGCTTTTTCTTTAATTAATTTCTGGAATAACGCAATAAAAACCAAGGCTATGGAACTCTTTTTGAACTCTGTTTTCGGTTCAGTTCATTCCGCTTAAGAAAGTTTTTTCACCGGTATGAGTAGAATGATTATAATAAATTTCCATAATATGATTCCGGCGCTTTAACGACATATATACCTACACTTATTAATAGTTGCCTACAATGATTACATAAAGATGTTATAGTATTCATCAGGCAATAATAATTTTATAGTAATATAATTCTAATTAACAAAAATTATTCACATCACATCACGTCTGCCCGTGTTCATATTTGTTGCAAAGTAACCTAAACGTATGTAACTTAAAAATAATAAAGGAGTATGTAATTTAAAAAACATAAAATACGCGTCGTGATCCAAAAATATTAGTTTAATTAAAAAATTGTTTTACCAAATGCAGCACCTGTGCCTTTTCCTCCAGAAAAGAATAAAGATAATAATAAAACAATTCATGTCTTATATTATATATATACCCACCAGCTAAGGTCATGATGGCCCCAGCGACGATGCAGACCGGTCCGAGCACGCGCGAGTTCCCAGTGAAGGCGATCCGAGCCGCATAGTGGTCGGGCTCCTCATTCTCACCGCAACCACGATACGAAGCCGCTGAAGATACAGTTACTTGACTTACATATTGTTAAATACAGGTTGATTTCCTTTTGAATTAAGAACAATTTATAAGATATATTCACTTGATTGAAATAACGTGATACTCAAATGAAATAGGATACACTTTAAATGAATTAAATCTTCAGATAGTTGTTATGAACAGAATAACAATTAAAATATTGCAATAAAGATTAAGCGTTCTACCTCAGTTATGTCTTAGATAAAATTTAAATTTCTTAGACATTATTCTTATATAAGTAGGTATCTGAAGAACAATGTATTAAGAGGTTTAGAAAGTACCCCAAATTTTAACCCCAAAGTTAATTAAATATGTTAAATCAAGGTTTTAATAACAAATATAATTTAGTGATTACATTATTAGAAAAACTTTAATATTTGTTTTTGCTAGAAACTAGAAATAGAAAAGTAATTTGAATCAAAATAAATTTAAAATAACAAACTGTATTTTTAGCTCTCGTGAAATTTACTCCAAAAAAATTTTTGAGTGAAAATAAATTCGTTTATTTTTGGATCGTCTAAAAATTCGTAATTGTTTTACTAAAATTTTATTTTAAAAGCATGTTTTAATATATTTTGATGCTCATTGTATAGGCAGTTGCCAATTCGATACAAGTATTGAACAATGAAAATAACAAGGAAAAGCGGACAAAGCGCTGACTCGCTTAAATAAGAATGACGGAGAGGATTATCTGGGGACTAACAATCTCCAGTATTGGTATTGTTCGTAAATCATTCTTAGTTTTCAATAAACACTCCATTGTTAACTGAATAAACAAGACGAGCATTGATTTTCAATGACTGAAGTTACACAAAATATTTGTTTGAATTAATTATGTCATCTTACCAGTTAGTACGCATCCAACAAGCATGAAAAGGAAGCCGAATATAGGGAGTACTATCTGGCAGTTGGCTGCAACAACCACACCAGCTACTGCCAGTCCCCCTTCCACCTTTTCCACCCTCAGCCTGGATATAGCCGGCGGACATCGAGGCTTTCCCGCTGGTGCACGAACTAACGGCTCGCCAGGAGGCGAAGTAGTCCTGGAAATACATAGACTATCATAAGAATGTATGATGTAACTAAAAATAAAATCTATTTTGCTCTTAATTTTGTATATTTATTGAATAAATGTAAGGGGAAAGTTTATAACCTTTGTCTTAACGTTATATTATTTCATTCATTTCCTTCAGCGTAACAAGCGCCGGATATTATGAAAAAATCAAACAATGTGCCTATGGTTTTGTTTTTGACTTGATCATACATATACACGGATGTTCTTAAGATTATCTTTTTATAAGATTTAATATAAATAATTCCGGGAATTTGTGTTGATATTTATTTAGTAGGATGTTTAATCATGAGCACCCAATGTCATACGAAATGTGATAACTGTAGTAACCATATACGATGCACACTACAACTAATAAAAAAAAGCTACATCTAAGGTTAAAATAATTAGCTCAATTTACATGTTTTTCGATGACAGCAACTAAAAATTAACAGTGTAGATATATTAACATGTTTGGGTTATAAAATATCTTCAATATAAGAACAAAATTTCTTTAGTTATGGTACAGTTGTAAGAGAATAGTTTATTTATATTTAAATTATAATAAATCGCTAAAGTAACATTTTCCCAATAATCTAATTTTACGTAATACAATAAAAAAACTTCCATTTTATGAAAAGAAATTATGGTTCCTATAATGATTGAAATTTAACCATAATTCAATTTCAAATTTAAGGTTTGAACTTTGAAAGTCAAGTAGAACGTTACAAATCATTACTTTTAACTTCCAAGGAGATAAAATTTTGGATATTAATTATACTTTGAATAACAGATTGTTAGAGTAAAAATTTTAGTACATCACCACAAATATTTTCGTCTATCTATCGCATGTCGTTACATTCGGTCGCGGATACAACGTAAAGTAAGGTTTTTTGGAGATTTAATTATGTAAATATTCAGCTCATTTTTTGCCATGTCCATTACTGAAATGATAATATGGTACATTTGATTTTTAAAGACCTTAACATAAAATATAAAATAAAGAGGTGAATAATATTTTCAATTGCTCAACACACTGAATCCAAAAAAACTAGAAATTATTCAGGCGTCTATGATCTATTAAGTTTTACTTGTATTGTCGTTTTGTCATCACCATGTTTTAATATTTAAATATTACTTTCATTTTAATTTTCTATACATTTCTTCTCTACATATACATTGTCTGCTAGAAATTCTATTTTCGACCGTACGCCCAAGACGCTTATAATTTTTATAGAAAATGAAATGTAACATTGCCTTACCTACTACTCGTATTGTACTAACTAATTAATAGTCCTTATTATTATAAGAAATGATTTTGGCACACGTTGTACTATAGTTCGCTGACCTAACCTTGAAGGATCATTCTAATGCATTCCAAGATATTTTCGTACATATGATACGTCCATTGTTTGTTTGGTAATTTGACTTTATGTATATATGTATGTACTTAGGTATCTTACTTGGGTCAAAGTGGAATAAGTTTGTTGTGTGATAGTGTGATGGTAGGTATTGCTGTGATAGTGTATATAAAGATATAACATTTCCTTTTACGATAACCAACGAGAAAAACTATTTTGACTATCAATTATTACCAAAAACTTGTAGTAGGAGAATTTGTTTAAGCATATTTTTAACTTGACCAGAAAAGAGGGAAGGTGTAATGTTTAATATGTGCTAATTAAAAAAACCTTTCAAAAATTTAATTAAAATCTGCTTAGGATGGTACAGACTATAGAGTAGATTGTAAAAATATATGAAATGGGTCTAAAGTTACTCAAAGATGCATTTAATAATTTGCAGTCAAAGCTTCTCCGTCTCACTGGGTCGCTCTGGGAGAAATGTTCGAGAGATTACTTTCGCATCTCTTCAATTTTGAATAAGATATGTCTAAAGGTGTATATTTTTCTTCATTTATGTTATCTCAATTGCTTGTTTTGTGCTTTCTCATAAACAGTTCGCTGTATTAATTCCTAAGCAGGTGCACTCTCCTAAAATTAAATCAACAAAAAAAGGTAAGCTTTTTGACGAATATAATTAATTAAGCTTAAAAAATAGTCGGTCTTCTTTCTACTAACATTTACATTATTGTAAAATTTAAAACAGTTACGTACAGTTGACAACTCTAACGTTTCAGACTTTGGTCTAGCTGCCCGAAATAGAAACGGTCTCCAAGCCAATAGTATTCGCTGAATTATTTATACTTTAGCTAAAATATGACACTTAAAAATATAATATTTTTATAGAAATATACATATAATATTCGTTCTTAAGTAAAATGTAGTAAAATTGTAACATTTTAAAGTACATATCTTTGTATATTTTTATTATCTCTATCATATCATATAAAATCTTTTATCTCTACGTTATAATCCACCAGAAATAGCCAAAAAAGAATTCTATTTAAAGTAAAAGTGTTATCTTTTTAATATATGAACGCAGACTGCAGGCACAAGCAATGCGGTATGTTTATATTATTAGCACAGTGTGACAGGTAACAAAGTTTAACCAGCCATAGATAAAGATTAAAATTACCTTGGTGCAGTTGTTATAATGAAATAAATTTTGTATAACATATTATGATACAGTAATTAAAAAATAATATTTAATTTATATAAGTGTAAAAGAGTCTACTCATTTGTATTTAAATAACTATTATTATTGGCTTATAAGAATTACAGTAACAAGATACATCATTATTAAATGGTCATTTTTATTTGTATATATGTGCTTTTAAACTGTTGCTACAATATATATGGCTTCTTGTTTAATCTCTTCTTTTAGTTAGTCATAACAAGCGAATCAATGCTACAGTGAAAAAAAAAGAATTATCTGAAGAAAAATTCTACTATATTTTTTAATTGTTCTTTAAAAAACTACCTTCCAACAGTTTAAGGCTAGGCCTTGGGAATTTTTTTCCCCTTTTACAATGGATATAAATCTTTGATTAAAATTTATTCAATCTACTTGATTTTATTTTACAGAATTTACTAATTCACAATGTCGAATTAAATATAAAAATATTAAAAATGCATGTAAAATATAACGTATGACGTATGACGTATGTATGCAATAACAAAACAATATTCTTAAAAGAATTTATTTTATGAATAAAGTATATTTAAAATAAAAAAAGGATATTTTTGAACAAAGTCACAAAACTTGAAAAATTTTGGTTCCTTTCGCTAGCTATTGGAAGCTGATTAAAATGATTTAAGTAGAAATGAGAGTCGTAGAAAATAATTCTAGCTTTTTGTTACTATATTAAAATTTGCAACATCATTGTATTTAAACAATGTTTTACTTTGTCCCTCGAGATGTTAATATGATGTAAAATTGAGTTATCCTATCAAAGTTTACGAAGAATAATTCTTAAATTTGCTAGGGTTAAGAAAAAATCTAAAAAAGGGATAATTGTGACCATTTGTTACTTGCACTAGATACAAACTATACAGCCGATCACTTGATTTATTCAAGATAGTTTTGAGTTATTTCGTATTTCATTGTTATACCATGGATCAAACTTTAAACCGGATTGTATGAATGCTTTCATTGTTTCTCGTATAAGAATACTACATGAAATTGATTTCAAACCGAAACGAAACGTGATCAGCATTCCAATATGGATGGATTTGACGCAAGTTTGTATCGTCAATCTAAATATATAACCTACGTTGACATGATGTTTCGTGTGCGAAGATTTATGAATGAAAAATTGAAAATAATATTTATTTACTTTAAGAGTAAGTTTATAGTTTTAACAGCGACACAGAACACCCTTAATAGTATAGGTTTAACAGTAACTGATTATAGTAAAGATATTCATTATATGTACATATATATGTGTTGACTACGTCACATTGACGCATAACAATTCTTAGAATTTTCTGAACGTATTTTTGGCAGTTGGAGGGAAAAGAATATATTTTTCTGACAACCTAACATTTATTTCAGCTCGAGGAACTTTGTATTGAGTTATAATATATCACACTGAAACCGTTCTAACTGAAGCCCCTTCATGTTTTATCTATTTTTCGTTCAACATTTTCTACTTATGAAACTTATTTGAATAAAATTAAGTGGAAGCTCACGCAATCGAATTACAAAACAATAGAACTAAATAAAGTAATCAAATATCTGTATGGGCACCAAGGTTGCCTGTACTATAATAGAAAATCAAATCCATGATACCTCTCATTAATTATTTATATAAAGGATTTAGTAACGTTAATTAAGTGTTCTGCGACATAATTTACAATAATAAATAAATAATTAAAAATAGCCTATCTTTTAAATTGTATTTATATTACGTCACTCGTATTCAAAATTTTTATTGCGTCACAATATATAAACTCCCATAATAGATTTCTATAATTTATATTTATTTCTAGCAAATATACCTATTGTTAAAGAATTCACCGTTTTACGAATATACATTATGCAGGACAGTACAGCAGGAAGTATTTGAGACAATGGCTCTTCCGTTTGAAACATCAATGGTGTATTGAGTTCGTACGACAATAATTACAGTTGGATGATTAATAGAGCTCAACTGTACTTCAAATATACCAATAATGGTAATAGATGAAAAATATGAAGTATTTTAAAATACTAAGTAAAATCTTGAATATTATTTTAAAACCATTTAAATAAAATTGCTATTATATTATTGCAATCAAGCCTATTATATACAAGGGTAATAAAATAAGTTACTTTTCATTTTAAGGTTTGAATTGGTCAAATAAAATTGTGATAAGGAGTTTTGTGGTACTTTGGCTCGAAAAAATCTGATAATTGGTGGTTTTAATGTAAGAATAATTTACTGTTCAGTAACACTTAGTTTTAGATTCCTAAGTACTGTATTATATATAGGTACTTCATTGTAGGTTACTGATAATCACACGAACAGAGACAAAACGTTATTCCAGATGAAATTGATACAAACAGGAAATATTCCAATCAATACAAGTCTTTCTAAATAGAACATAGAATTTTTATTTCCCCTTATCTAAAATAATAAGAAATAGATTAGATATATATTTTCTGTATGTATTTCCAAATTACTAATTGCCCTTTTACAGTTTAATATTAAATGCGACTGAAAATACGTACTATTTTGACTAGCAGACGTCGAAAAATACTTATTCTATTTAGGGATCGCTTTCATAAATTTTAAATTTTTCACTGTTCGCGTGTCTGATGCCTTGGATATATTGTTCAGTTTAAATACCAGCTCTGACGTACATATTGAACCCAACTAATAAGTTGGGTTCAATATATACGTATAGGGAGACCGGGTAAGAACGTAACATTTAAGTACTTATACTTTGATTATTATTATTACTTCTCTAGTAACGAAATTCCGTAATTTTTTATATGGTAGAATATGTGTTGCTTCAACTTCGATGACAGTTTGACGACTGTCTAGGAATATTAGAGATTTAAAATAAATTAAAACTCACTTCATTGTTCGCTCCCATGTGTGAGGTTTTCTATCGACATATTTAATGTTAGTGCTAATTCGATACTTTATGAGTAATTAATAAAACTACGTTGTAATTATATGTTACCTGTTTAAACGATTCTTTATTTGTATAATGTTACCTTTTCATTGTGTTTACCTTGATGTACTTGATTCCGTTTGTGGAAGAGCGGGGACTCCTAACACAAGTTAATTCCATTACTTAAAAGGAGCTCCCTAGTTGTATCTAGGTATAAGTTACAGAAATAAACAATTTTTTTTTGTTATGTTATACCTATTTTTTCAATAAAATCCATTTAGTTAGTACCTTTCATGTCCAATAAAATATATATAGATACATGCTTACATACTAAAATTTTTAATAAAAATTTCAGCTAATGACGAGAACTCGTAAAATAACAAAAATACGATCAGCGATCATATGTGAATTGTCAAAAAAATTCTAAATGTGATTGGGTGACATCGTTTCATTCATAATCGAAATGCCTGAATTGCGATGTATCAGAATCGACTTACGTTAATCGAGTTTTACGACCAATTGGAGCTCGCATAATTAACTTCTATATTTGTGGTTTGTATAGCTTATTTAATAAATTCGTTTTAGGCAACGCTTATTATCTACTAAATGCAAATGTTTATAAAGTATCGCTGGCTTTAATCACTTTCAAAAATAAGCATCCTAATTTAAATCAGCTAGAAGCTTCTGGGAAAGAAAGCGATGTGAAAAAATTTAATGTTGGCATGACGTAAAGTCTTTACGCGTAAACTGTGTGAGTATGTTTGGATGTTTATTCCTTGTTTCCGCTTAAACAAATGAAATGATTTAAAAATAAATCGTTACACAATTTTTAATACCCTTTGAGTTGCAATGCTTACTTCTGGTTGCTGTTATTTGGAACATGAACTAAAATATATGTGGAATAAAATATCACTTAACTTTTAATTAATTTATATACATAATTAGTTAATAACTGTTATGTGTATTCTTAGTTTTCATTGTAAGCATAGTCAACGATTCAAATGATCTGACCTCCTTTCAGTTAACATCCAATAAGAATCTTATTAATCATCAATAATGAAGTTTCTGTAATTGTCATTGATATTATAATAATTGTAATAATTGTTCCCTTTTTGGGTTGTATTTACACTTTTATTTGGTAGTAATAAAGGTTTGAGCTTTAACCACCACGCTTTGCTCAAGACGGGTTGATGATTTCAAAATTATAATTGTGAAATTATAAGTCCAGGTTTCCTCACGATGTTTTCCTTCACCGTCTGTCAGTGGTGTCTAATTAATCAGCAATGTTAAGTTCAAAATGAAGTAATTACATAATTATATTGCATGTTTTACAAAGCGCCCGACATTTATTGTCAATATTCAATTACAAAAGTTAATATTATGCAGATTAAAATGACGAGAATTAATTATATCCAATTGTCAATGAACAAATTTATACCAGAACGTACTTTGAACTTTGCGCATATATAATAAATTGCGAATAGTACATTTAAATTATGTTTGTATTATATATTGCGTTTCAATGTTAGCGAGCCAAGTTTAATTATATTAAATATCCAACGAGTCTCTGGTGAAAAGAAATAAAAGCGAAAGATAATAATATTTTTATAACATGCTAAAGGAAACGTTATTAATACATTATGTTCACATCTCTTTAAGGAAAAGAAATATATGTTCTGAAAATGGGACTTGATTAATTTTACGTTACCAAAAATATTTTATATTTTGTCTGAATAGTCGTCTTCATTTATTTGAATCTGTGGAAGTGTTAATATTACAATGTTAAGCCTTGACAGAGTGTCTATGTATAGAAGCTGACAGCCTTTTATCTGCGGTCACTGGATTGGAAACAGAACGGTAAATCGACGTCGATGGGAACAGCCGTTACAGATTAATTCAGACATCTTGTTTACAAAAACCTTCAATGATATGGCCTCTTTACATAAGATATATGTGACACAGGTGACTTGTTATAGAAACAACATGAGGTTAATAGTATAAAGATAATGAGATAATTATCAATTATTACTTGTTTTCATTAAATATTTTGTATCTTAAATTTTAAGAGCGCACAAAAATGAATTCGATTCTAATATTTTCTAATAAATTTCTTTCTATTATGTACGACCTATTTCATACACTACCTAATTTTAATATGAAATATGATACAATTATTGGAATATAATCAAATGTTTGGCAAACCTAAGTCTCATGTCTCGCTTTTGAATTCACTACTAAAGAATAATATTGAGGTAAGGTTACTTTTGAGTCACTTATATTTTTGAGGTATCTATATTATTGAAGTATCAAACTACATAATTGTTAACCAACAAGTATTAAACCGTCTGACAGACGCGCCACACGTCGTGTTTATTCTGGTCGTGGCAATTTGCTGCCATTAGGACGGGAGTACACGGTACAAAAATAGTCTGTCCCCCACAAATTGACTGACACAACCGATGAATGACTCCATCCTGTTTAAAGTCCACTACATAAAAAACACGATACTAAATTCTTTTAAAACCATTATTATATTAATTGCTACATGACACCAGAAGCTAAAATATATATTGCAAGAAAATAAAATTAAATACTTTGTTGCTAGTAGTCATAGAGAAATATCATTTCAATGAAACTTAAAAGCAATATTTTATTTGTAATAAGTAATTATTAATTACACAAATGGATGGAATAACTTATACAGTTTGTTATACATACATTACTGTATATTAAAAAACCATTCAATAAAGACCATTTCATATTGGATTTTAATACGATGATGTGTGACACTATTTTTCACATTTATGTTAAGCTCCCATTTAAAATTGCAAAGGTGTTTCCTCATTACAGACAGACTTTAATTTAACAGTTATGGCTGTAGCTATTTACTTGTTAAATTAAGTGTTTAACAATCTGACTCGCGACTATATATAGAGCGGGTAAACCTCTATTATATCATTGAATTAACTACTTCAAGAGACTATTTACTGATAATAATTCAAGGAATATTACAATTGTTTTTTTTTTAATCTATTGTCTATTTTTTATTTATCTGTACAATTTTATGTGATTTATCGGCTATATAAAGGGTTTTGGTTATATTTATGTATATTTTTATACATCATTTATTTTGTTTAAAATAGGTTATTTATTTGTTACCTCAAAATCAGTTTTTTAACAAAAAAATCCGGGCGCTGCAACTCTATAGAACTGCCAACAGATTATTAAAATCTCAAAGCTATGCACATATGGGTGCATTGAACTCAATCCCTTTCCGCTCCAAAGCAGACATTCATTATGCCCGTTTTAAGTTATATTTAAAATGTACCATTAGTGTATACAGAGAAAAAAATGTATGCCTAGTTTATAAAGTCTCTTTCGAACACGTTCCATTAAAAGTCCTAAAGGTTTTTTTGGCCTAATGATGATAAAAAAAAATTAAGCTGTGTATATAGACAACGATGTCACAGAAACATTTTATGTATAGAATTCTTATGAACTATGAAAATATAACATACATATTTTTGTTATAATATCACTTATACTTCCAAAAATATATTCTTCAAATAACAAAATTGACATTTGTGTGTCATTGATTATGTAGTGACAGCTAGCGCCATGTTTTTATTTCACGGGGTTAGGTTAGACAAAATATTCATAGGATTTTCTAAGCGTCGTAAAATATTCAAAACAGGCATTAACCTAACGAAATTCAAAAGAAGTGCCACATTGACATCATCAATTATTTTTTATTAATTCCCTACTCGAAAAGAAGGTTATAAGTTTCACGTCGATGTGTGTGTGTGTATGTGTGCGTGTGTCTTTGTGGGAATATACATATGTGCGTGTGCTTATGTCTTTATAATACACTTTAACTCTCTAATATGACGCTCTCTTTTAATAAGTTCTTTTTAATATGTGAATTATTTGCATTGGTTCTATATTTGTTATCTATAATTGGTTATTATCGGTGGAAGCATTTTTCCAAAATTATGACAGATATTTTTATAGTATGATTATTCTATTAAGTTGCTCACTCGTGCCAGTATAATCTTTAAATGACAATTAACGCCTAGAGAGTTTTAAGAATTTATTTATTTATTTATAAATATAGATGTTAAAATAAATGGACAAATTAATTGTGTTTCTGATCAAATTATTGATAAATTTTCATTTGACTAACGGTGACGACTTATAAAAATTCCAATTATATGAATACAATTGAATAAATGAAATACTTTTATTGAATGCAAGAAAAACAAACTTCAAAAATCATTATATCGTGTTTTGAAATATGTAATATACATTAATATATCTAACACGAATTTTATATCATATTCATAAAGATGCCTGAATAATCTCTGAGATAAAGATCCTATAGATTATTCTGGCTTACAGAGTGGCCACCAACGAATATTGGGAAACTGGCACATTTTGTAAGAAGCTTAAAATGAGATAAGCCCTCGCACTCCAGTTTGCTGTTCCATTGCCATCGAGTTGTGTACTATCAAGTCTTTGCTACGTCCTACATTCGAAAATATATATGTACCTTAAGAAGTGCCTTAAATATTGTATATTTCTATAACATATATTTAAGTAATCTTCCACTTCATCTAGTGTTCGTACCATATGCTATATCATACTATATATCATTTGTTATTAAAAAAGTATATCACATTAATATATTGCTGGCACTCCTTATATTGAAATCATTAGTATTCCGCAACTTACTCAACTCTAAACTTGAATATTTCAATCGGTTATCGTTTATTTAAGTTGTAATTAGCATTCAAGTGCTTCTGTCAACATGAATGTATTATGACGGAGTTACGGCTTCATGGATTATGTATTAAAAAATGTATTAATAGATTACATTTTTCTGATTTTAATTTATAATTTTAAATACGAGATTTATTATGTAAGATACTGGTAAAAAATTAAATAACAAGATATATTTAATCAATTTTCCATGTTAAACTTAAGAATACGATTTGTTCGTAAATTTATAACACGACCTATATAAATTCGACCGCAATTATGAATTGCCAATAAACTTTTCCTAATTTTCATGAGGTCAATGGATGTTTCACTAATTAAAAGACGTTTTCGGCCAGTTATGAACATAGAAAAAAGTAGTGTTCATGTTTTCAAGAAATTCAAGAAATATTACGATGTTAAAAAAATCTTACAAAGACCTTGTTGTGAATCATTTTTGTCATTCTCAGCAGAATGAAAAGAAATAGGGCACTTTATGACGTGAAAGAACCGGGACAGGGTTGCTAGGCTAAGAAAAGTATTTCTATTTCTAGAACATAAATGTAACAGAGAAATTTTAACAGTTTAAAACATGCAAAAATATATAAAAATATATAGATTTCTTTATTTGAAACATCAAGTGGTTTGATAAAAAACTTCAAATGTGTTACGATAATTAGATCTGTAAAAGTGAGATTCTCAATAATACAGTATATGAAGACTTTAATTATATGCAAATGAACATAACAATTGTTAATATTTATAATAATGAACACG